AATGATAGTTTGCATTTAAGAATTGCAAACAATGTAGGAATTCTTTTAAAATGATATATATATATGCCCTTGCTCGACTATCTTTCCATTTCTATATAATAGATATTTGCTTTAGGTCTTATGTTTTTTAGGACTGATGTCTTTTACATTTGAATTTTATCTGCTTGTAGAAGAATGCGAAGATCATTATGATCATCATCATCATCATTGTCATCATTCTTATTGTTATTGTATTATATGAGTATAAGATAGAACTTAATTAGAGCAACAAGGTCAGTGAGGAGTTTATATTGTCAACTCCAACATCTTCAAAATTGAGACACATTATTGTTTGTATTCAAAATTGATCCCAAAAATTAGAGGAAAATGTTTGTTGTGTTATCAATATAAAAACTTTAAACCTCAAAAAAGCAGCCACAAAAATGGAGCAGTAAGTTTAGCCAGAAAATTGGCTCCCTGCTATCTTGGTCGAGAGAAAGAAAAGTACGGTGCACAAAGAGCTAAGGAACTCCAAAGGAATGTTTGGTGGGATATATTAGGAAAAAAAACGTGTATTAGTTTTGGTAGTATCAATTTCTTGTTTGGTAATGTTTTCACCGATCTTATGTTATACTAACTAATTCTTGTAATAGTTATATAGCTTATACAGTATTATTCTTATACATATCAAATCATAGTACTAGCAATATTGTGATTTTAATACATGGACAAACATGTATGAAAGCAAAATTACTATTTTAAATCCGTTTTCAAATACTTCTTCAAATCGTCGGAGGGTATTTTGTAAATAAATATTTTTTTAAAAAAAATTATACGATGCATGTTATTTTTAATACATAAAACCAAGCACTAGATAAAAAGTAATTTGAATAAAATTATTTCCAACATAACTAATCTCAGCATTGCTAATTATAATATTAATAATACATCATATTCAGTGCTATTCTAATACATCCTACCAAACGACCCCTAAGTCATTAAATCTGTTCTCGCCGGTGATGTATTATTAGTTCTTCGATGCCATTTTCTATTCCATCCACAGCGGTTTATGCATTTCATGGGTCAAATGAAATTCTCATTTAATGGGACGATTGGACATAAGAATTATAAAATTTCAAAAAAAAAAGTGAAAATAAATTCAAATGAAAATGGTATTTGAAAATTACAGTTGTGTTTGGACATGAATATAATTTTGGATTGTTTTTGAAGGTTTGCGAGTTATCTGAGTGAAAATTTTAAAAAACAGCTTTTTGAAATTTTTCAAATTTTTGAAAAATTCCAAAATATATCTTTAAGTGAAAATTGAAAAAATTTTACGAACAAACGTTGTTTTAAAAAAAAAAGAATTTTTTTCCAAAAAACAGGAAAAAAATTCATATGCCCAAAGAGGCTCTTAACTTGTCAGATATAGAAAAGAAGGAATTCATATGATACTAATTGATCTAATAAAAGTATGGTCAAGGATACAAAGACGAATGTTTCTCTTTTGTCAAACATAGAGGAATGTGTAAAAAAGTTGGAAACATATCTGCCAAATATCTACTAGGAGTAATATACAATTATAGGGGACCACACCTAAGACCACCAAATAAAAAAGGAAAGTGAGGGACCATATCTTACGTGCGAAGAATCGACAAAATTCTAGACAATTGTAGAACATGGACAATATAAGGAACAGAAGCTCCTAGAAATATGTCACCTTCTGCTTCCATTCCCATCTAGAAGCTTCTATGTTTACACTATATAATCCTGCAACATTCTCCGCAATCCAAAGCGAAAAACCAACTGAAATACACCAAACCCAAAATCTCATAATATCTACAAATAGAACTCACTCAGCTAACCTAAGAGGAGGAGGATGGATTTCAGGCTAATGGGTATCGACACTCCACTGTTCCACACTATCCACCACCTCATGGACACAGCCGGTGACGATTCCGACAAGTCCGTCAACGCCCCATCGAGGAACTATGTACGTGACGCTAAGGCCATGGCTGCAACACCAGCCGACGTGAAAGAGTATCCCAATTCCTACGTTTTCGTTGTGGACATGCCAGGGTTGAAATCTGGAGATATTAATGTGCAAGTGGAAGACGACAATGTGCTGCTGATAAGTGGAGAAAGAAAGAGGGAAGAAGAGAAAGAAGGGGCTAAGTATATCAGAATGGAGAGAAGGGTTGGAAAATTCATGAGGAAGTTTACGCTGTCGGAGAATGCGAATACTGATGCGATCTCTGCTGTTTGTCAAGATGGAGTTTTGACTGTGACTGTCCAG